CACAAACTTGTAACTACTTGCTTTAGGGAATATAAGGCGTCCACTGGATTTGGCGTATAATATTACATGCGAATTAAAAAATTATTAATGATCTGAACGCACATTCGCTCAGTAATATCACTGCAATTGCAAGTTAATCCCCATACTGCAACAGACCCTAAGACTTCGGTGTCATTGGATTGTTTTTTTACTCTAGCTGCAAACCTATTAAAAGGCTCACGAGGAATAGGAACCATTAAAGATTAAACAGGATGTTTTTAGGCTAATCTTGTAATGGAAATAGACCACAAAATAGGAAGTATATATTTCTTTTCTTTTTCAATAATTACGGGTGTTTTTTTTTTTACTTTTTTAACTTAGAAGTTGAGATCCTAAGTGTTTTCAATAGGCCTTTGTAAATTTCACAGACTATTTGGCATCTAAAGGTAATTTTAAAAAGGAAAGTGCAGTTTAAAATTTAAACAACTAAAAGGAAGTTACTTTGTTGAAGCCTTTGTGAATAATTGTTGGCATTTTATTTTAAAATTACGACATTTTATGATTTTATTGGAAAGATATAGATTTATCCAATATTTAAATGCACACAAATTCTTGAAACTGCACAGAAGAGTTTTGACAGAACACCGCACTGACAAAAGCGTAAAGCCCGGGGCTAGGGGATGGGGAGGATTTATCCCCCCACTATTTGACCAGGGAATGGACCACCCGGGATCGGGGACGTCTCTATAGTCCGAAGTACCATTGGTCCGACGTCCCATTGCTCTCCATTGGTATAACGTCCAATTGTTCGGATGTCCCATTGGTCGGACGTTCTGACCATACCACCCTTGTGGAGTGATGTTCCTTTCAGAACACATCACCCCACTTTTTTTACAATAGAAAAACATCACCCCAGAAGAGAATCTTTAGAAAAAGGGATAATGGGAACACAATGCTATCACCCCACAATTCCGTCTGGCTGGAACGTCCGTCCCATTGGTCCGAAGTCCCTATTGGTCCGAAGTCCCATTGGTCCGAAGTCCCATTGGCCCGAAGTCCCATTGGTCCGAAGTCCCATTGGCCCGAAGTCCCATTGGTCCGAAGTCCCATTGGTCCGAAGTCCCATTGGTCCGAAGTCCCCATTGGTCCGAAGTCCCATTGGTCCGAAGTCCCCATTGGTCCGAAGTCCCCATTGGTCCGAAGTCCCATTGGTCCGAAGTCCCCATTGGTCCGAAGTCCCATTGGTCCGAAGTCCCCATTGGTCCGAAGTCCCCATTGGTCCGAAGTCCCATTGGTCCGAAGTCCCCATTGGTCCGAAGTCCCATTGGTCCGAAGTCCCCATTGGTCCGAGGTCCCATTGGATCACCCCCTCCCATCTTAGTTGTAATAAACAAAAATTTGAAGGTAATTTTACAACTGTCCAACAGCCCAAATATAGCACTAAATAAACAAAGAACGAACAGCATAAAAGCTTTAAATGCACCGTTTGATATATGTACATCAATTTGAATCATAAACAGCGCCCCCAATGGCATATGTCTCGAAGGTTCAAGATTTTACTGAACACAATTTATGACAAGATTATCAGCCGGTATTGACTTATTTACCGAACTGAAATTGCCTTTATTTCAGTAAAGATAGTTTTCGTGTATTGTTGACAATCGTGTGCTACAGAGGAATATGAGCGAAAAGGGTATCTTCCCTTGCGCAGTGCTATGACATTATTGATGTGAGCGTGCAGCTTGGCTGAAAAAAAGCATCACAATACTCAGTAGCGGAGCACTACCAAAGATGAACCAAGGTTTACCTTAAATGAAAAAAATTGAAACAAATGTAAAGGCTTGAATTTTCTAGTCACTGAAAAAAATCATTCTTTCATCTTCATCAACAAGACATCGACTTCCGACGATACTCATTAATTTTGTTGTAACTGTAAAGTGAGGTTTCCAAGACCCTCGATCGTGAGAATCGTGCAGCTAACTAATAATACGTTCACTACTTTTAAAAATCAATTTCAAAGTCTTAGATTCATTTACAAGGATAACAGTTCAATTTGTAAAGCGTTCGCAGGCTTAGTCCATCTAAACAGCGCAATTTTCAGAAAATATAACGTTAACAAACTAAGCGTATAATCATAGGCCATTATTTCTACAAACAAAAAATTATGTTTAGATCTGCTTAGGTCTGAATCTCGCCTCCTGAATTCAAAAGTCACAACGTTTGCGCGCAACCAGACTATTGTAAAATGGCAATAGACCACGAATGGTAATTTCGGCGTTGATAAGCTTCGATTTTTTGCTGAAATCGAAAGTGTTTCTGGTAAATACCAATAAAGAGAGGGGCATATACTGTTGAGCATTTAAAACCTGCAGTTCAAATGCTTGAGAGTTGCCTTCATGGAGACGCTGGCGATTCTTCCTCCTTTTTGTAAGACAAGAGGCAGCTTTTGATAACCATATTTTTAATAGTGCTTATTATCGTCCGGCTTATGCAGCGCCCCATAAGAAGACGGTTTCAGCCCCCTCCACCCCCACCCGGCCCACCCCACTTCTTGATTTTACAGAGGCCGGATGACAGGTGGGAAAAAAATCCCACTTTCAGCACGGATGAGCTAGCGACTATCCAACAAATGAAAATGACACGCTACGCCACTGAATCTGGGAATGTTGTTCATTTAACCAATTGTTCTTCCGCGTCCAAGGCCGCTTTGTCGCAGATCGAAGGATCGGCGTTGAGAGTCATTCCGGCACGCCGAGCTAGCGGCTGCACGCGATGACGTGGACCCTTGGCCGAGAACTCTTTGATGATGTGACCGGCGAAGCACGGAGAGGTCAAGCGGCCTCGGCAGGTCTGGTGACTCAAAAATCACGGTCTGTGTGATCGTCCGAAGCAGGTAGCCGGCACAGGGGAGGGCCAAGAGATCACAGTAAAGAGAGATCCACTTATTCCCGCTCAACTGCCCCGCCATTGCTACGCAGTTATCATCATCATCATCATCCCCATCATCCCCATCATCCCCATCATCATCATCATCATCATCATCATCATCATCATCATCATCATCATCATCATCATCATCATCATCATCCCCGTACGTTACGCGTCGTCATCATCAAGATCTCATGGCCGCTGTATGCCCAACTCCCAGGGAGTGCCGATATATCGTACGCCCAACACATATCTCCCTCTGACTGTAAAGAGCAGTCGAGCCACACATGGGAGCCAGGGGAGTAAGTTTCAAGAACCTATGTATATAGAGTTAGGGTTAGCTATCGTGATTTAAAGGATATGGTTGGTTGAGGGCAAGGATTAGGGTAAGGTTACAAAAACAAATGCGACATTGTGAGTTAAAGTGTCGAGGTACGGAGGCATATTCTGGAAGCCAAAGCTTTTATATATATAGATGCTTTAAATAATAACTACATGCAATTAAAGAAATACTTAGTGAAATGATGAGACTTACACAAATCACACCCGCAACAGATATACAGAATGACCAAATTGACAGATGAGATAAACAAACTGATTACATGGACAAACTGATTACAAGGACAATACATTATCTTACATACGTAATCTGGTAAGAAACAATGCACATATTGCTGACCAACACTAGCATCGGTATATAGCTCTGCTACTGGGACAGGACTGTCCGCAAGGTCTACTGGTATCCTTCGTAAAAGTTTGAGGCACGTATACTGACCAACTCGGGGCCAAGACTAGGGGGCCGCCCGGCTGGCTGTTTCCTCCCGCGCTGTTACGTGATGGATAGGGAAGGATGTGTGATTAGGGACGCTAAGATCCCAGAAGAGTCCAACATGGAAGGAGGTAATGGGTTCAAGTTCATTTCCTGGGTTCGACTCCTGAATGCTTGGATATGACCGTCCTTTTTAAAAATTCATTTTAAACATCTTGTTTTAATATAATAAGACAGTTCTAAAATAAAGCAGCAAAAATAAAGCAGTTGATGATCCTTTTACCGGCAATTTCACCTAAAAAAACATGCCCAAATAGTCAGACCGGCAAAGGCCTGAGAGAAAGAGAGAGAGAAACAAATATTTACATCGTTACACTCCTTCAGACTCTGTCCGTTGGAAAAAGGAAATTGTTTCAATTTAGTATAATTTCTGTTAAATTCAACCAAAACTTGTGGTCATACTAGATCAAATTAAATTTAATTTTGTATGACCACAAGTTTTGGTTGAATTTAACAGAAGTTATAACCCAAGCAATTGGGTAATAACATACCACAATTTCGGGTAGTTGCAGTTTACACCCTTGCTTGGGTGAAATTAACCCAGGCAATTTTTCAGTGATACATGTACTTTAGACAGATTCGTCTATACGGCAAATTCTCCATGATTCTTCAACGGAGAATATTTCTATTTCTATCATTATTGATCTTTTAATGTCTACCCATATTAAATTAAAATTCTTCGTTATTCAATTGAATTCTTACTTAATTAATCTTTTCGTTATTTGATGTTTTCGCAAACCAGAGTTATGCTTTCTTGAAGATCCTCCCGGTCTCTTGATAGATTATCACAAATATGAAGGTGGTTGATAATTCACTTCGCTATGGCTATAGACATATCATTACAGTCTTCGAATGAAAAAAACACTCTTGCATTTCAATTAGTAAAAAGTTAAAAACCTCAGAACATAAAAACCTTAAAAATATGATAAATATTTTGTTGATTTAACAATCAGTCAAGATTGTTATAAACACAAGTTCTACAACTGTCACCAACATAGGGCCTATTACTCCAAAATTTCAAATTATAACTTGAATACCAAGATACAAATAATATTACAATATACAAACTGAGTAATAGACTTAAGTAAAAAATATATAGGCCCCACCACCAGCTGCCAAAAATTGTAGTGAAAACGTAAAGTTAGATATTTATTGTAACTCATCATAAAGTGTCAAAAATGAATTTTAATTTAAAACAAATACGCATATTTGCGAGTATATATAGGCTGATATACATGTAACTCTTCCACAAAATATATGAGTCCGAATAATAATAATATACAAACATAGAAACACAATGATTTTCTGGTACATTGTAATGAGAAAAACCCACGATATAATAAGTGGGTTTTTTTTAAGTCCTGGCTGGAGCAGACTCAACGCTATGTGTCTCTCCCTTCAGTTGTCATCCAGCTCAGGGCGAATCATCAAGTACATGTAGTTGTCAGCTTTTGGCAGCAGTCGCATGTACGTCTACATAGCAAGGAGAGAATAATTCCACCATGATTCCACCATTCCACCATTTTGTGACGAAATATTACAATCAAGTACATTCTATAAACACATGATGAATCTTTAGGTGATTAAATTGACTGGTCTCAATTCAAACACTCACATGTTCATTTTGGCTGTCGCCCATACTTGTCAGACGAGTCACTAGATTCTTGAAATGAGGTCGGTGGGCCGGGTCTTCCTGCCAGCACAGCAGCATCAGGTTGTAGCTGCAAAACAACATCCTTGGTTGTCATTTACATACAACAGTATATTACCGTATCATTGCGTTTAGTATTTTAATTGTAGGATAATAATACGTGCACACGTGGGAGCAACGTGAATAATGAATCAGAACAAACCACATATCGAGAAAAAAACTAAACAAAAGGATATGGCTCAACATCAGTTCCGAAATAGTAAAATGTAAATCATAGATAAAGAGATAAGTCAGCCTATCGACGGAAGAACATTTTCAGACTTAAGCCTCTTAATGTTCACATCTTACAATTCATCATCACAGCTGCTAGGTTTGGGCATCCGGTATCCACTCTTCAACCTCGACAAAAGGTCCTTAGATTTGGTGTCTTCATAAGGAGTGGCACCTTGAAAAAATATACAAACTCAACTCTTAGCGAAAGGATATATTGCATTGATTAGAATGGGATCAATTCGCACGTGCTTAAAATTTAAATGGGAAAATGACGACTCAAGCGAAAACAAAACGACGTATTCCAGTCAGCATGTACTTTTCGAACACATTATCCGGACAAATTATACAAACACGTGATCAAAGGAAACTAATAATTATTGAAAGATCGAAATACTTTACCCAGGGTGGCAATTTCCCACAGAAGGATTCCGAAGGACCATCTATAACAAGAAACGAAAAACAAAGACGAATGAGTCTCGTTCAATGCTGCATGTGTGATGTGTTTCAGTTGTGTAAATGGACATTCTTAATGTTATCTTTTTGATACTTACACGTCACTCTTTGGTGTGTAAGTCTTGGAAGCCAACGACTCCAGAGACAGCCAGCGAGTAGGAACCCGAGTCTGCAAAAGGAGATATCAAAAAGGACGTTAAAATACTTGTATTTCTAATAAAACACGTACTTCTACAAAAGCTCGGTATGAGGGAGTGTAGAGTAATGAGTATGGCAGGTTTATGAGTAGGCCCAAGAAAAAATTGTCTTGATAATGAAACAGGAGATAATGAGAGCTGTTAATACTTACCCTTGACATCTGAACATAGATATCCTCTCCTCGAGACAAGCCAAAATCAGAAACCTTGGCAACCAATTGATTGTCAAGGAGGATGTTCCTTGCCGCCAAATCACGATGAATCACCTGCAAAGAATGTTCCTTTATTTATTACTTTTAAAGTATACTAAATTTGATTGCTGCAAACTCATGAGCATGGCCGTCGCCTGGATTTTTTCTAGATGGGGGCAAAACATATTTTTACCCCCCAAAATCCTGTATTTCTCAACATTTTCTCGAATTATCACTTTTAGAGAGGGCATGGAATTTTCGCCACCCACCCATTAGATTTTCACCACTATTACTTTGCACCTCTTTTTCTTTTCGTTTTTTCTCTTTTTTTCTTTCTTCTTCTCCTTTTTTTTTTGCTTTTCCGGGGGGGGGGGGAGCAAGCACCCCCTTGCCCCCCCCCCTTCGCGACGTCCATGCTCATGAGCTTTCCCTGTGTTCCATCTTTGCAACACTGGCCCATACCCCATCATGGATCCGATTAGCTCTGTTTTTAAGCCCATGAAGTCTGTATATCATCCGTTCTTATGTTTGTAAGCTTCAATAGATCGTTTGCACTGCAACCAGGGCAGCATGAGTAGACGTCTTGTGCATACATTGTTACAGCTCAAATCATCGGCAATCGATCTACAGCCGGACACTTTTAAACAATCCTTGGTTTCGTTACCAATACAATGTTTCCATTAAGTATCAAAAACTAAGACAATATACTTACTTCCACTGCATCAAGGTGTTGCATTCCTTTGGCAACATCCAAAGCAAACTGAATCAGCTTCTCAGAAGACAGAGTTGACTGATCATTGTCCCCCAGAGATCGGGCATTTCTCAGGTAGGTGCGCAGATCACCGTTGGGCATGAACTCCAAAGCCACGTACAAAATGTCTGGTAAAACAAAATTTACATGAAATAGTCTGCATAATATGTGGCGGTTTCAGGAAACTGTTTTTCAGAAAATGCTCCAACTCACTTAGTTCATTTACTTGGATTTAATTTATTGATTTTTTTTTAATATTGCGAGATGTATGATCTCTGTTAACACAAAGATGAAGTATGAACAAATTGCTATTAAAAAGGTAAACATCTGTCAATGACTCAACCGGTTTGCCTTCGAAATGCATTTTGCTAAAACGATTATTACAAGTGGTCAAACTATTCTTCTCAACTACATGATCACAAATCTACACAACAAGCAGTAAATGAAAACCAGATATTTCACTGCACGTTTTTCACTCACCTTCGTGTTGACAAGCACCAAGAATACTGACCACGTTCGGGTGCCGTCCAACTTTGGTCAGCGTTCGAAATTCCTCCATGAAGTTCTGCCGGTCATTTTCCGACGCGTTTGCTGTGATGAATTATTGAATGAAGTGAAACAAAACACTGTTGGTCTTTATTGCTATTCGTGAACTCGGAATTTGAATGAAAACGGATGTTATATAATTTATTGAGTATATCTCATTGTCTCTATTACTGTTCATATCAGATTAGGTTCGAAGTTCAAACGTTTACAGTAATTGCATGCAGATGGTGCATATTCGACGTACCCTTTAGTGTCTTTATAGCCGCCTTGGAAATTTTTCCTCCAACCTTCACTGCTCCGTCGCGAACTTCTCCAAAGTTTCCTTCGCCTAAGATGTCATCCCCGATCATCATATTCTTAAATGGAACACTCCATCCCTGTCCCCAAGATGGTAGGCCTACATCCTCATAGGTTGGTGGTGACATGTTTATACCCACTACTTCATACGATGTTGGGTGATCCTGACCAACCCTCTCATAGTCTGATGCCCCGGTGTCATTGTCTGGGGATATCTGATTCTCATACGTGGTCTAAGAGGACAAATCAAAGACGTCAACACCCATTATCACAATTTAGGAAATAAAACAGAGGAGACTCATTTTCATCACTGAAAAGATCAGTATTGGAAAGATGTAAAATGACTCAATGTTATTGGGAAGACACTGCTTTAAGAAAAAGGGAATGCAAATATTAGTTAAACAAAAAGGGCATGCCATACCTTAGTCAGAGTTCAAACTCTTCATATATTTTACGCAGTGGCCTATACGGGCGATTCCAAATAGTGCGCCTCCAAGAGTTTGCAGCGCGTTGGCCAATCACAATGCGCGAAATCAGTCGACCTTTTCCAAACGGGCGTTGGGTCGACAGATTTTGCGCATTGTGATTGGCCAAGGCGTTGCAAACTCTTGGAGGCGCACTATTGGGAATCGCCCGTATTGAATTGCAATGTTTATAACACCCACCATTTCCTGTCCTCCTGCTGATGGCGTCTTTGCAGGTTGTCTTCTACTTCTTCGACGACGCAGAAAATAAACGCATAGGACCGCAGCAACGACAATCACGACGATTACGACGACGACAATGACAGCGATCAGAGCTGAACTCGACAAGCTTTGGTTTGGAGGATTCGTCACTGAGAAAAAAACCAAGAATATAACTATTCATGGTGTTGAGTTTTTGAATAAAAGTTCTTGTGAACATTAAACAATGGAGCTGCTGAGCAGAACTTGATGTGCTTAGCGAACGGCTGCAGGGAACCAGTCACACGCAATATTCATTGCATGACATGTGGCTGGTAACTGGTTTTGGCTCAGCAGGTATTTTCTATAGCAAATGTTCCTATCAGCTTAATAAAACCTGCCACAGGATAATAATCATTACATTGTTTATGTACATGTAGTATTATGGTACCAGTACTTTACGTACGTAAACATGCAAATTTCGAGCATATATAGGCCTACAACTTAGTGATACCTGTTCATGTTGATTGCTACGATCGTACACGAGCCAATATTCGTTCCTGTCGCGCGACTAACATCAAAAACCAGAACATATAGGTATAGTTTTTTTTGCGATGATAACCTACCTACAGCCGATGGCTTCTATACAACTGAGTTGGTCCAATTAATTGTTGGTACTTGGTAGAAATTCCTCCTGAATTATATATCTTGAAACCTTTATGAATCACGAATAATTGCAACTGTGCGTACTGTTTTACGTAAATTGTTCCAATCGAGGGTCCCTGAAGTGTGACATCAGTAATTAACTTTCATCCCGGTGACTAGCTGTGTAAAACGTGTCCAATTAATTCAATACTAAAGCAAGCGCGGCCGTACCGGAAAAGAAGGTGTCCAGCCTGTTAACATGAAATTCACATAAGCGTAAAGTAAATACAGTTTGGCTCAACCATTGTGTATACAATGTAAAGTATCGAAAGCTCCAAAATTTGGAATCAGACTGTGATGAATTCCTTTTTGAACTGCTAAGACTGGCCACCAAAGAATTTTAAGCTGTGAGAATTCCTGCCTCGATGGATTGTATAGCTATTTACTGGTCTCAGGACAAAGACCAACTATGTTCCGGCAGGGTTCCTTTTATGGACACTATATAAACGCCTGAAAATATGTCAGGTCAATTGGGTATCATTTATGACAGTTTAAAAAATGTTCCAGATTCGGAGAAAAGTGGTGTTTTGATAAGAAATATCATCTAACATCTACAGACAGTAATGATCAAGGGTCAGGATTTTCATTGATGTGAGGTTTAAGGTGTTGCTGATGCTCTGTCTACTTTACCTGTGGTTTTTCTGGGTGGTTGTGTGGTAGGCGGTATCATGTTAAATTGTGTAGTTGGTTCTACTGGTGAACCTGATTCAGCGATCGTTGATGCTGTGGTTGTAGGACTCAGGGTAGCTGGTTCAGGTTCATTTGAAGTCACTTTAATTGTTACTGGACTCATTGGCCCTTCTCCTCCTTGCTCCTGTAACACGGCCGCCACACTGAACATGTATTCAGTATTTGGGTTTAATGATGGAATGGTTGAGCTATACAGAGCCTGTGATGAGTTTGTCACAGACACGGTCTCAGCAACAGTCCATGATATGGAGGATTTAAGGGAGTAGTAAACTTTGTAAGCAAAGACTGGTCCATCTCCTGCATCCACATTGGGATCCCATGCCTGCCAGCTGACGGTAGCTGATGTAAGTGTAACTGTAACACTGGGTGGCTGGCTTAAATATGGCAAACCTACAATAAATGAAAAGAGGAAAGATAGTAAATTAACATTGGCGTTTAACCACCAATAATATACGTTGGAGACAACTGTGAAAAATGGATGCATTGGCTAGCCGGTGTTTTATAAATTAAGCGCTAACGTGATCTGCACATGTCGCCTTAACTTAACAGTCATGTCATAATTCTCAAATGTCGAAGATCAAGTAGGTTTGGTCACACCAAAAGACTTTGCAACCAAAGTTTAGAAGGGTAATACGTTGGTATTTCCTTGGAATTCCAGAAGACACCAATCTCACCAACACCTTGGTATACAACTTGAGGGTCACATGCGAACTGAATGCAGACAAGACAACATGGAGATCCTTCATTGACTCATGCGTCAAAAGACAATGGAGTCCCTTTGACTTAAGGTTTGTTCATTCTATCTAATATATAGCAAATTTAATTTAAAAAAAAATTCACTGCAAACATGAATTTCACCGTAGTGTGAAAATTCACGGCCTGAAAATTCACGGCCTGTTACCTTGCCGTGATGTCATAAATTGCCGTGATATCATAAATTGCATTTACATGAACTGGCCTTAGGTTTTAAGAGAACTGCCTAATTACACCTCATTTGATTGGCCTAACCGTAACAAGGCTTTTCCATCTTATCGACAAAAAGGCATCTCACAAGTGCGTTAATGACTAAACGAAGTGCAGTCTGAAAATACTCAGAATTTAGGTTTTTTTTCAATAAGAAAAGCTTTTTAGCATACTTACATTACTCAGTTATAATTTTGCTAATTTTGTCACTGAATAAACTTGCTTTAAGCAGTGTCAGGAATTGACTGAAAACTCAAACTACGGTACATGTACTTCAAATCAAATTCTACTTCCTTATCAAAACACTTACACTATCACCCATCACAAGATCTGATAGACATGTAATACTATACCTCTGAGTGTGATAGGAATGGCGCAAGCTAGTTGTTGGCTTGAAGGTCTAAAGGCAAACACTTGAAAATCTACAGTAGTTGATCCAGACATAGGAATGTTTGCTTGGTACTGGGTTCTTGATGTAAGTGGCTTCGAACTGTTATTCTCAGGATCCTTGAAGTTGAATGTCACATCAATGACTCCATTAGAAACGGTTGGTAGTGGTATGGGCACAGAGACATCAGAACCCGGCGTATCAATCACAGGAATATTAGTGGCACATGTGATCTCAAAAGCTGATGGGAGAAAATAAACCACAACAACATTAAGGAGACTTGAGAAAAACTTCACTGTACAACAAAGACCTTCTTGAAAAGTCAAAATTTTGATCTTTTTATCACAAAGTTTAATTAATTAGGAATAATAATAATAATAATAATAATAATTTATTAATTTATAGTGCGCAAATTCCATTTAAAATATGTTCAAATGCGCATTACAGTCATAAAAAAATAAAAAAATAAACAGACGTATACGCAAATTCAACAATACAATGAACACTGATACAGGGTACAAAAAATCAATAAAAAGCTCTCATAAAAAGATGAGTTTTAAGTAATTGTTTAAAAACATTCAGGCTACTTGCTTCTCGGATATTTAATGGCAGTGCATTCCATAACTTAGGTGCAGCACACTCAAATGCACGATCACCAAGGGTGACCTTGGTTCGACTTGCTGAGTAACTGAGGAGTGTTTTGTCATTGGAAGATCTGAGATTGTAATTGGATGAAGATCGTTTTTGGATTAGATGGCATAAATATAAGGGAGCTAGACCATAAAGAATTTTATAAGTTATTAACAGAATTTTAAACTCAATCCTGAATCTCACCGGAAGCCAATGTAAATCAAAAAACAGTGGGGTGATATGACAGTATTTGTAAGCGTTACAGACTAGTCTGGCGCAGGAATTTTGCACACGTTGAAGCTGTGATATTTGAACGTCAGGCAATCCATAGAGGAGGCTATTACAATAATCCAACCGACTAGAAATAAAAGAGTGAATTAACGTTTCAGTACATTCCCTGGTCAGATACTTTCTGATACGTCTAATATTATGTAAATAATAAAAAGCCGTACCACACGTTTTTGTGATATGAGTAGACATTGTCAAGTTTGCATCGAACCAGGCACCCAGACTCTTCACAACGGAGACAGGGGAAAGTCTGGACTCCCCAACATTGATGCTGTCAATATTAACCTTAGCCAATTGTTGGCGAGTACCCATGATAATAAATTCAGTTTTATCATCGTTTAACATCAACCCATTACTGAGCATCCATTTACGCACAACATGTATACAACCCTCCATTGCAGAAAGAGCAGACGCCTGGCTCGATGCATCATCTGGGCAAAAGGAAAGATAAAGTTGCGTATCGTCAGCATAACAATGCACATCTGGAAGTTGAGTCTCAATAATTTCGAACAAACTACTGGTATATAAAATAAACAACAAAGGACCTAAACAGGATCCTTGGGGTACACCCCACTCAAGGTCAAATTTCTGAGACAGTTTACCATGAACAGAGACCCGTTGAGATCGGTCAGACAAATAAGATTTAAACCAGAGGACAACAGTCCCATCAATACCAAACTTGGACTGGAGCCTGTTCAACAAAACCGTATGATCTAAAGTATCGAAAGCAGAACTTAAATCAAGTAAGACTAATAAAGAAACATGTTGTTTGTCCATAGCCATTAGTAAATCGTTTTTAACTTTCAATAAGGCCGTCTCAGTACTATGGTGACTACGGTAGGCCGACTGAGTAATTGGATATAAACCGTTCAATGTTAAATGAGATTGTAGTTGGAATACTTACGAAGCACAAACACTTTAAACAGTTATGTCTGCAAATTGGCATGATTGTTATGATAAATCAACAAGGATGACATAATAAATAGCTGGCAGACATTTACCTCAAAATGTAATCAGGTACTCGGTGCAGCACTTCTAATGTTTTGTAAATTAAAAAGGTTTCAAAATGAAAACTTTTATGATTCAGGTTTCGTTTACACATTTTTAAAAAGTTGTAAACGAATTATGATTCTTGTTTGTTTAAAGGGAATATACAACATCAAAACACAGAACTTCCAAACTACATGTATTATGAAATACCTTACTGGACTGTAAGGCCAAAAAGAAAAGGTCTTCGGTTTCTGGTATGGAGCTTGCCCAGCCTCGACTCCATGGCACGTGTGCGTTCCTTCACTAACCCCTGGCCGTGATGAACACGTAAACGATGCTGACTGGATATTAAGAGCGCACTGCGCGCGCATTTCGAAGATTGAACACCGAGCACGCCCATAATGTGCTCGCGTGTTTTGCAAGTCACGTCACGTACGAAAATGATTTGTTATTCAAAACTCGCGATGCCTGTACGATATGGATTATGGCAGCCTCGTTTTTCGCTAAAAAACCCCGGTATCTTCGGTTGTAAAGGGATGAAAGGGGTACGTACATTTAATACAAATCTTTGCTAAATAACGCAGCGTCCAAACCTTTTGTTTGAAATGATTGATTCTTCAAAATCACATCTTTAAACATTTTAAAGATGGCGTCGGGACGTAAAACGGATAAACTGCAGCCTTATTACAATGTGCCATATTTTGACACATTTAAATTACACAATTCCAGGGGTTGAGATCGCGCAAGGCATGATCAGGGAAACAACATGGTGCAGCAAGATCTTGTACCCATGGGAACTAGGTTGGGAGCTTGCCATACAATCTTACATTGAAAAAAACTTTTTAATTTTGCCGACGCGCATGGCTACGGCGTCGCGCGCACATACCAGAAATCGGAGCCTCTTTTTTTGGCCTTAGTGAAAGATAGTCTAAAGCATCCTGCAAAATCATGGCACCTGGTGTGCTGTCATTTTCAAGAAAAGTGAGAATTCCGTATCAATTTTCAATGCTGGTCGGCCGACCAGCGTTGGAAAAAAACTGGCTTTTTCAAATACTTCCCCAATTTGCCATATTTAGTTAGTCCACATTTTTTTGCCAGTGTACAAGCCAGGTAGACTGGTTACCCGACCTGTCTATAAATTGCTCCATTTCGTCTTACATGTAAGTGGGGTCAGGGAACCAGACAAAAGGGAAATGATTGTTTTTCTTGGTTTTTCTAGCATCTACTAACACAAAACCTTAAACAAGTTAGTCTAGCAATATTTGCTATAAAATACTAACCCCCGAATCAATCCATTTCTGAAACTTACAGCTCAATTAAATGTTGTATACTCCGTTTAAACATTTAAATCGTATAAATGTCAAATCCTTACATTTTTTTGATGACAGCATGCTTGATAAATCAGTCACATGTACGTAGGATGGGGAAGAAAATATTAGTTGTTTACTAACATTGAATTAGAATTTAAAGGTTAATCTTAAGGTCACAAATAAGTCCTACATATTCACGGAATCTTACACAATGGACACCAATATGAATAATCAACTTTTTTTTACCACATTGTATCATTGCAATTATACAGAGCAGAGAAATGTGGGTTTGTTTGTTGTGTAAATCGAGGACACACACATGCAACATCATCGGTGAATCAAGGACAGAAACCAAATCAAGGACGACCTTGATTAGAAATGTGTACAAAACCAATGAGAGATGTTGCAAAAAAGGGTACAAACAAACGAAAAGGGAAGCGGAACGATAGAAAATCCTCGATTTACACCATAAACAAACGTGTACGTGTTCATCTTTTCAAACCATGGACGAAACATACCAGAGAACAATATCGTCCATGATTCCCAGCATACGTCCGCGATTGGGGTCGTGTACAAACCCTACGGGAGTCTTCATAAAAAAAAGTTAGTACAAAAATAAAATAAAAATATGACGTCCACGATTGACGGTGAACACACGTTTGTGTGTGCGTGTGTGTTTACGATTTCATCATGTTCTTAAGTTCATCACCAGGTGGCAAAGCAGGCAGGCAGGCGAACCCTCAGCTTTACATGTTTACTTGTCAAACTGACAATGACAAGTTATGTGCTCCTTATGCATGTGAAATTTAAGAAGTGGCGATGTGTTCTTAAGATCCATTTTGGGAGATATTGCCCCACTTGACATTCGTCACCTGGAAAATACCCTTGAAATTCAAAATCACTGGTGACGTCCACATACATACATGTATACTTCATTTGTTACCCTATAAATGATGGATTTAACTTGGATGACTTATTACCAAAAGAGGACCTCAAAAAAATTTCTAGAGCATTTGGCTCGTCAACTCTTATGCAGTTGAAAATCAGACAAAAAGCTACTGAGAACAATTACCAGTGATTGTGATAGGAATAGTGCAACTGCGTTGTGGGTTCATAGGTACATTTGTGATCACGTTGACATCCACAGTCTGGGATCCAGACACAGGCGCTGTTACTTGGTAATGGTTGTTACAGATTGATATTTGCTGATTGTCTTGATCCAGAAAATAGAATGCCACATCAGTGATCCCCTCAGAAATGGTTGGTTGTGGTAAAGTCACAGAGACAATAGAGCCAGGCGTACCATACACAGGGACATCGCTGGCACATGCTATCTGGAAAGCTGAAAAGGCAGACACAAGACAATGATCACAATACAATTACAAAAACAACAGGTCATATGTGTATTTCCTGTGTCCCTCATCCGTTCCATTCCAACCATGAACAAAAAATAGATGATTTACTTGCCCCCATATCGAAATATTGTCACACAGAATGAATGAACTCACACATCATTTGTATTTGTTATACCTCTGTCTTGAATACTGCATTTTCATTGGCCTAGAGGGATCACGTGTTAAGTTTATAAAAAGTTATGCCACACTCCCTGTGGGATATCACGTACCTGAAGTCCCACAGGGAGTGTGCTATGACTTTGTACGGTACACATACGGTGTGAAAGGCTTATAAGATATCGTTGGTACCCACGCTATTTTCCCCATGTTTTTTTACACGAGTGGGAGCAGCAAATTAGTAGATGATCAGCTGTTTCAAGCACGCAACATGCACGTGAGTTGTCGTTTGATTGTCATGATTGCTGTGTTTACTGATGTTTGTTTTCGTGATTTTTACATCAAAATCCAAAGAATCCAAGACATAGGTATAACAAAGCAATTATTGATATGCTGTGATGTGGGGTTTGACGTTTTGAACACCCAGGAGGCACATAGCACCTGAGGCGATAATGTTTGCATACCTGAGGGGCGCATAGCATCCGAGGCGAAGTATGCGCCCCTCAAGTGTTCAATCAATAGAAATAAAAATAGAAATATTTAAGTAAAAATGTTATCACAAATATTTTCAGTTAAAATGACATCACAAGTTGACTTCTGACTTCATTGTTTTTTTTTTTAAATGATTTTACGTTAGAATCCATGGAGCACAGGAACAAAGGTCATTAATTATAACCATAGGCAAATAGTTTATATTTATGCAAGGTTATCTTGTGAAATCAGGAAATTTATAATACATGAGATGCTACTGAATATAAAAACAAGTCAGGTATTAAAGCGTGGTGTTTAAACATGCCCCTTCAAAAGTAAATCCATTAACAACTTTACCAAAAAAAAGGGAAAAAAAAACATTATATAGTAGGTTGCATACACTTCAAAATATTCTTACCTGTGACTGTGATACGAATAGCACAATATGAGTATTGGTTTGGGGATTGGGTGTATGCAGCCACTTCAATATCGACAGTAGCTGATCCAGATGATGGAACAACTATTTGCTGTTGGCTTTGAAAAGCTGTGTAAGTATTCGATGGTAGAATCCTCATGCTGAATGTGACACCAGTGGTCCCATCAGAAACAGTTGGCTCTGCTATTATCACATCTACAGTGGAACCAGGAGTGTCAATCACATGAACACCACTGGTACAAATGATGGGAAAGTCTGCCAACAAAGACAAATACACAAGACCATTAGAATGAAGATTTAAAGTGCAACTCAGCTAATCTTGACACTAATGAAATTGCGTCAAGATTTGATTAGTTTGTACAGTGCAATATTGAACTGTCAACATGAAATACACATACGTAATGTGACCCTTAGTTATGCCAGCCATTAATTGAACCAAGTAACTGAAGTTTGCCAATTGGCTATCATCAATGCATTTCATCCAGGAACATTGGTCAACTCGTGGTTGCTACATGACCTGCACATTAATAGCATAATGCAAATACAGACCACTCACCAGCAAGTTGTGAAGCAAGATGCAAATTGTTAATTCACGGGGATATTAACATTTTGGTTAAATATCACTCCTATGAATGTTTAATTTTGCCTTTTTAAGGGTAAAAGACTCCAGAATCAACAAAAGTAACCATATACATGTACATGTATTCAACAAGGATGACGACAGAAACACATTATACAGTATGTCCCAAAAAAGTGTCCATCTGACTGTTTTAAAAATGAGTACAAAACTATTAAGTCAATTTTGATACTCCTAAACCTTGGCCTCAACCCCTATGAGTTTCATTTAATTTCAGTCACGCGTCACTGCATAATTGTCAATTGAGCGCAACAACATTTTTGGACACTGTGACCAAGTTCCATGCCGTAATCAATTTCGGTGCTGTGTTATGTAATCTGTGAATTTCAGTAGAGATAATAAAGATAATGTTCAACTTTAAAGAAATTCCTAAATGTAATCTTTGGATATTCTAAGTCTAATTGTTATAGTGCACCACATTAGGGAATAACTCAAGACAATTTTTGGCCCAATTTCCGAGAAAAAAACTACCATTTTTGAATTTCCGACTCAGTTTCACAACACTAAAATTGTTCACAAAGGTTCAACAAGACCACTTATGAAGGTAAAAGTACCAGTATTTAACTGAAAGAATCTGAAGTTTGACAACAAAGAGCTCTGGCAACACTGCATGCGGAAAGTCGGAGAAATGTTGACGTGAGAAATGTTGACGTGCACCACACTTTGGAACACCACTACATACACGAGAAGTGCACCTGTATATCATGAACTGTTTCCCCATGTGTTATGCTTTTCAAATTTCCATGGCCGAGCAATTTTTAGATTTTGGTCATCCCCCACCCACCCAATTGCAGTCAGGCAAGATGGCGTCAGTCGGTCACCCCCAACTGTACTCTCTTTGCCGGTGAGGGAATACTTGTGAACAGAGCGGATACAAAGCCCTAACTGATTAACTACCATTTTTGATATTGACAAATAATTCCAGAAAACCCATCCACGCACTGACCGTGAATGAAGAACCATGAACCTGACAAATGCTTGCCTTGTGAATAAGCTGATTTATTACATACATACCACTTGTATATTGACAAGTAATTCCAGATCTTTCATCTGGGCACAGACAAGTAAATGATGAACCAGTATCCAGACAAGTTGCTCCAAAGGAACATGGTGATGAAGAACACGGACCTGACAAGGACAAATTGATAAAGGGAATATGTATGTCATGAAAAGATACAAAATCTAAATAAACAATATGCTTAGATTGTAAATAAAACTATTTCAGTATTTGTTTACTTATTGGGCTGAATAGAAGTCTACGTTAGTTAAAAAAAAGTGAAACCAACATCCACCCACACCTATGTTGAATCTGAAAAGGTGAAGGATTACCGTAATTTTCGGAATATAAGCTGCCCGGAGTAAAAGCCGCAGCACGCAAAAATCTGCAAATTAAGATTTGAAGTCGGCGTAGAAGCCGCATCGGCGTATAAGCCGCATCGACCGCAGCGGTTTCAATTTTGTAAGACCGCCAAATTCTAGTCAAAATGCTCTGAACCAGTTCCATTTACACTACGAAAGCTATAAAAAGGGCCACAAAAGTTATATCAAATCATTGACAGTCGATACTCTTACAACACATAGGGAAATTGATCATGAGAAATAAAAAAACGGGAATTGCTGCAGGCTGGCCCGTCAGTGCATGGCCCAGTAGCCTGCGCCGGCGAATGAAAACATTTTCCCCCAGCACCAGAGAGAGTATGCAACCCACCGTGTGTCGTCTGACTGGAGCGCTACAAATCCTGCTTTTCGGCAACAGACGCTGATTTGTTTTGTCCTAAGAATAAACAGGTCCGTTTTTACAACAAAACGATTCAAATTGTTGTGATTACTAGCGAGTAGTAACATCAAAAATTCAAGTTGCGATCGTAACTTTCTTCAAAAACAGTGAACACGATCCTGAAATTTTTATGGACGAATCCATTAATTTCCTAAGGGGTGATTTAACCCCTGTTTTGAGTTTTACATCGTTTCTTGAATACATTTCAAGAAAAAAATTATATTGTGACGTTGAACAACTGATTATCAAATAAAGATATGTTTTGAACTCCATAAAAGGTATTAGTTGTCTTTTTTTCTCTTTTTAAACAGCGGAAATATTGGCAATTATTGTTCCAAGAAAGAACAAGGGCGAATCCAGGGGGGGGGGGGGGGGCAAAGGGGGCCATGACCCCCCCCCCCAAATGAAACCAATTTTTTTTTTTTATGTGACATCGCAATAAAGGCAGGCAATGAGTACACCACCATCTTTTCCTCAAAAAAACATTGGTTAAAGTGGTCAGAAATTGCCTCAGATCGCACCACAGAGCATCTAGAATCCCAAAAATTTTTGGGGCCCTTAAGTGGGCCCCGAACCCCACGCCGTAATTTTTTTGACCCACTTTTTTGAGGGACCAAAATTTTGCCGGTTGTCGATGTCGAAGAGACAGCGAAGAGACAACTTTCATGATCACTAGCTGTACTTTTTATCAAAGATTTTTACCCCTCAGTACCTTTTCGATGGACGTGCTTTCAGTCTGTTAATGACTTTCTTAATTGATGATTTATTTCAGCAACAGATCTTTTCTTATACCAGTACATTAAATATACATTTGAATACCATTTTTATTCTTCAAGGCTCGGCGTATAAGCCGCCCTGTGTATAAGCCGCAGTAAACATTTCCATGGGCAAAATCAACGTATAGACCACTTGCAGACGCGATAGATAATTGACGCGCGAAGGTGCACGACGCCATGTTATGGGACAAAATGTGCATGGATAGATACACGCCTGTCCCACAACATGGCGTCGCGCGCCTTCGCGCGTCGATTATCGAACGCATCTGCAAGCGGTCTATAAGCCGCGACTTATATTCCGAAAATTACGGTATTACAAATTTAGGTTCCAAATATGACATTTTCCTGTCCCTGTTATCTCTGAACTTTGTAATTTGCCATTCAAGTGTCTTTCAAATAACATCAAACTAATTTTACTTTATTGGGTAGGTATTTGCTTCACATAAGCACCATTGAAGGAAAAATACATCAGGAGTGCATCAAGAATTGTAAAATCGTAGATGTCAGATGTTACAGAGCAGGAAAAAAAGGTGTATCCCGCATCGATAGAATGAACTGTGTATACTAACGCTACTGCTTACTTGTAATACAGACACCAGAGTTCTTGTCACAGGCTGCATTATTTAAGCATGTACATTTGCTGAGACAATTCACTCCGTAGTAACCAACAGGGCATATGTCTGGAACTAAAAATTGGAAATTGGAAATATATAGAGTAAGTACAATCACTTTATTACTCTCTAGATTTTGGTAAGAGTAAGTCAAATGAAAAAGAACAATTTATGTTGAAATCCGTTAGTGTGAAACATACTTTGGAATATTACAAGTACCGGTAGCTATTATTTGGTGAAAATTTACCAAAACGACTACACACCTATTCCCAATTAACCAACACAAAGTTGCATGTAAACAAAAAGTTGCTTTTGAAACTTTGACTCTGAAGGACAGTTACTAAAAACCTCTCGGATGAAAAAGTAATTTAGGCCTATGCACCTGTAGAAGTTCTATAAATTTGGCTGTAATGGCCAGTCCTATGTTTAGACTGAGGGGCAGAACATGTTGATACCAAGGCTTCCTTATGGAGACAAAAGTGTAACTGAAAAACATATACATCCGATACAAGGTGAAAATACATAAAAGTCAAACAGGACATTATATGATTAGATTTGTATACAGAATGAAACTGCTACACTACTTACTTTGACAGTATGTTCCAGACCAGCCTGCTGCACAACCAGAAATGCCTGTACATGCACCGGTGTATACATTGCAGAATCCTGATTGACAATGACATGACTGGCTACAACCAGCACCGAACGTTCCTAAAGTACAGGCTTTAAAAACAGAAAAAAAAAGAGAAAGAGTTTTAAGTCAATCAAAAAGCAAAGGTGCGAGAGATTACCAAAATAATCTGAATGTGAGGAATGCAAGCAAAGCTTCTTCTTTACTTACGAATGTTGCAGTAGGTGCCTTTATATCCCGAGATGCAGCTGTTCCCGTAAGGGTCTGGCAGGCCAAACTGGCTCCCTGTACAACTCTGAATGACATTACTACCGGTAGGTCCACACTGAAACTCACAACTCCAGCCAAATATGTGCATACCACACACTGTAGAAAGTGATCATCAAAAGAATGGTTTGGTTAAAAAAAAAGACATTATTCAAGCATTATACAGAAAATAAATATGAATAATGCCAAAAAAAGTACTTACATGAATAAAAGATAAAGTGTAGGAAATCGTCTGTGATTGTGATTGTTTTCACAGGTAAACAAAAATCAGACAGACAGACAGAAACCAGGCAATGAGCTTACCTGTGAGGCAGTTTGGTCCACTGAATCCTGGTGGGCAGATGCAATCTCCTGTCTCATCATCACACACTCCTCCATTGTAGCACAGATCACACACTCCGCCACAGTCAGGAGGACCCCACTTGCCGGCAACACAGCCTACATGGATTAAAATTCAAGAGACATATTCATGCTTACTTTTTTTACACTTTAATTATGTGAAATGAATTTAATGCACCTGTAAATGTTAATGATAACATAACATAAAACTGACCCTTGACCTGGCTTAAATGTATATTTAATACCAAATGCAGCAGAATTATGGCCTGTGATACTGTGTCATTTGGTACATTGATGTCTCTAACAATACACTCTTTACAACGGTAGCCACAGTTGAGGAAGATACTAGTTACGCATCCCTGTTACCAAGGTGTCAGGTGAAAGGGGTTTATACAAATAAGGCATCTATTTTTACTCAGACAACAACTATAAGTGCGCTTCTCTTCATTAACATAGTCCTGCATCTGCCAAACAATTGTGTCACTACAATCAACAAATTTGTGCAGAAACCACAAAAATGCAGCATGACAAAATTTACCTCTGACTATGAGTCTGATCATACTGAAATGATTGTCATTGAGAGTAACATCAGATCCGATGACAGTATACAGATCCCCATCAACAGCATCAGCAGAAGGCAGTGTGAAACTAGGCTGATTGTAAGAAGGGAAATCTGAAACAACAGTTCCATTTCTTATTTGACGCCATATAGGAGAGCCACCGGAATTAACTGTGATGACTGAGAGAGTCACATCCTCTCCTTTGTTGATCGTCTTTGTCACCAGGCCATCAACAGGCTCAAACCTCCCTACAAAAGAAAGGAATACAATGATGGTTACGAATTTCACCTAGGTCTTAATTGGAAGATTTCAATCAAAAAAGTCGAATTACCGAACTGCTTCATTTTAACCATACAAACATGTTCATGTAGTTACTAATACAATAGAAATTCAAACATATGGTGCTACCGCAAACCTCACAAATTGTAACTTTCCAAGAGGCAAGCCTTCAAGTTTAACTTGATCTTAACATACATGTAGGTACTTTAAAACACCTTTCACAGTTGATTCATTGAGTTCTATATTCATAACAGAAGTTCATAGTTCAAGTGCATTTTAAGACCACTGTTTGCAAGTTTTTAACTCATTTAAAGGGAATATACATCATTTGCTTTTGCTGTAATTTTCAGAAATGGATGGAATTGGGGGGTTGGAAATATATAGCAAATATAGTTACACTGACTTTTTTGAGGTTTTGGGTTCGAAAATGCTATAAAAACCAAGAAAAACGATCATTTTCCTGTAGTCTGGTTCCCTGACTCCATATAAGAAGAAACAGAGCAGTTTACGTACATTGGGGAATTGTAAGGTCAGGGAACCAGTCTAGCTGTCTCGTACCCGTTCATAGGTTTGTAATCGATTGCAAACAAGTGCGATGGTCAATTGGGGCCAGTATTTGAAAAAAAAAAGCCAGTTGTTTCCAACGCTGATCGGCCAATCAGCGTTGGAAATTGATACAAAAATACCACTTTTCTTGTAAATGACAGTATACCAGGTGCCATGATTTTACAGGATGCTTTGCACTGTCATTCACTAACAGTCCAGCAAGGTATTTCAAAATGATTTGGTAGTTTTATTTTTTGATGTTTGCAAATGTTGTATTTTCCCTTTAAATGTTTTCTTATATTTCAAGAATTCACTAATAAGTCAGGTTAGGGAAATCCTTGAGACTTGTTCTTGCCCTGTAAAAAATACGCACTTACTATTCACACTGTGGATGATGCTGTATACCCGCGTTGTTAACCCTCGATTGGAACCTTCACAATAAAACAACCCAGTGGCATCATTACTGGTGGTCAGATACTGTGTGACTATTTGTCCATTCACTGATTGACTACTGCCAGTAGGGAGGGTGGTAGATGTTTGTATGGAAGATCCTCCCAGTCCTATCTGGAATGGTCTGCCAAAGCTCACTGTGGTGCTAGAATCAGGACTGCTACGGAAACAGCTGATGCTAGCTGAGGACTGTGAAGACCCCGCCCCATAAGGTGTGGGCGTGACCATGGTGAGATGAACTGTATCGCCTGTTGAATTAAAAACCAAGACACTTCACTGATATTGTGTGTCTAGTAGTTGTCTTTTACTTTAGCTGTGACACATGTACATTGTACAGTACATATGTAATTAAAGTCACATTCTGTGCGTATTCATTTGAACATCTAGCCTTGAAACTTCCACGGTTAATCTTATTGTGTGTATGAAACAAAATGGAAATGTGATCCACATTTTGCTGGATGAATACACCCAATGCAACTTAAGAGTGTTTTCTTCATTGGTGCACTCTATCATTTGAAATTTGTAAAGTTTAGAACAGGGAATTATACATTTTAACTGAATCGAAGTGAGTAACTATTTCTTACTGGTATAGAGTAAAAAATACCACACTATGTATCAACCATAAACAACTCGTGCAATAACTTGTGATTTGTACCAAATGGTAATACTAGCCAAAAAAGTTTCAGTTTTAAGGACATATACATTGTAAATCCTTCCTGTAGTCAGGTCAGTCAGGAGGAGAACAATTAAAGTCACATCCATCATTTATCTATAGGCTAGAACTTTGTTACTTCATTACTTCAACTATGCTGCACACAACTATAACTTGTCATTATCCATGGACAGAGTTCCATATCCCACCACCATTGCATGTCCACACCGCTACACTTCCTGACTCCTGAATTTGACTGCCTGATACAATTGGAAGTCCAAATGTTTGGCCTTAAAAAAAAAAACCTTTCCTCCGATGAATTTAGTTTTCCTTAATTTAGTTAAGCAAGTTTAAAGGATTTGTTTTTAATGAACAAGGTGAGGTTAAAAGTTTTGCAGTGACTGAATCCAGACATGGAACTCTTGCTCTATTAAGGTTATTGGGGTAGAATGAATAGCCAAAACCTCATACCGACAAGTAGGGAATGTAACAGTTTGCATGTCTTCCACTGCCAAAACTGGCATTATTTTGTCACTTTTTCTTTCCGATTTCTGTTCAAATTCAAAATGATATAAGAAAAAATACAGTGTCAATCTAAATGAAAAAGACTGCTTGAGGTTGCAAATGTTATTTTGAAATTAAAAAGCCCCTTGAAAAGAAGCAAAACAAAACTCAGTGAAACCAGAAAAATAGAGGGATCCTAAAAAAAACCTTTAACCCCAAAACTTGACAACGTCGTCAGTGGAAAAATGTTGTATCTCAGTTTTGAGTCGTTTATAGAAAAACACATAGGCTAATAGGTTTGGGTGGCTCACTAATTGTTTTTGTTTCATTAAATACACAGATAAAGAGAACTTAGGAAGATAATTTATTCAGAAACATGTTTAATTTATTGAACAATTTGTTATCCTGCCTAATTTTAGATAAAATAGCTTTTAAACGAATGAGATCATCATACAGCGTTTTAGCTGAGATGATGCGCCATGGATTTTTTTTTGTCAGATCGTCTTAACTTGTCACGATGAATTGTTGAATGAACACACAATATCGCTTTATCACTTTAGCATGTAGGGCTTAAATCGGGTTAAGTCAAGAAATACTTTTACCCTATCGCTAAAACATCTCAGAATTGAGCAGCATGCTTGTATTTAGCATAGCCTTTCCTAAAACTCAAGCATTTGGTTAATTAAAATTCCCAGTAGCATCTTATTCAGTGTATGAAGAATCTCTACTTCAATAATTTTTGTGTTTTCCAATACATGTACTTCATTTTTATTCTCATTTTCTTCTACTTACTTTTACAGGATAACAATTAGGCCTATTTCATCATATTTTTTCAATTTTGATCATTTGGTTTATAGGCCATGTATGTTTAGCTGGCGCTGTTTACATTTAAGAAGGCTAAAAAAATACTTCTGCTTCCGGTTACCTAATACCCCATTCAATCAGCATAAAAAAATTGGGAAAAACAATTCTGACCGACCAACCCTATTTTTGAAAGGCATACATGTACATCGGAAGCAGAGCTTTCTTCCTTTTTTGGCCTGAACAAATTTTGTCGGCTGAGCACTGACCATGCGCAGTGACTTTTTAGGGACTTTTCTAGGAAATACCATTTCACGATTTCGGACTTTATTTCCCTTTAAAAAAAATCCTACAGTATCACAAATCACAAAGAGAAAATGTAATACTCTGTAATTAATTGCTGGAGTCAATTTAAAATAAGAAAATAACGATTTTCTCAATTTTTTTGAATGATTTTTTTTATAAATGAACCAGGGATCTCTCACTCGTGAACTACATGTACAAATATACCGGTATGCCCTTATCCACTAAGCCATCAGGTGCTGAAGAACAGTGGAGGTAATTTAATACCTTATATAATACACTGTACAATCTAACAGGGTAAATATCGTTTACTGAAAGAACCCTAAACAAGCCGGCTAAATATAGGCCTACACTTCCTTATAGACAACAGAAAAAATAAACATAATTAATGTCACATCACTACAAGAATATTAATTTCGGTGACTTTTGAGATACGTTTTTGAACAAACACGGCATTTTGCATATAAAACATATTAGCTTAAACGGTCAGGCTCCTAGTCGTGATATGACCATATGACTTGAGTTTAATTAATTACGCCATGACTCAATATTTCCAAAGGAAAATTCTCCTATAACAATCTATGGATAAATCTTGATACAAATGTAATTTGGCAGTTACTGAATTAGGATGTTTTTAACCCGACTACATCTGGCCGTACAGTACTATCGCATAATGATATGCATTATTTAGTTCATGACCTCGTGTTTGTATGGCCAGCCGCGCCGCGCGCCCGACAAACGTCATAAACTATGATGCATATTCATTATCTTACCCAAGCACGCTCGCATAATGCATACATTACAACGCGGCCGCCATTTTGAAATCGCATGGAGGACATTTTCAGGACGATATTTGTGGAAGATGATGACTAAAAATCGTCTTTTGGCCAGATGGATGAAAATATTGAGACCAAAGAACGTTTTTTCGAAAAGGTATGAGTTGCTCTACGACTAAGAACCTTAACTTTGGAAATTTGTGTCCTGGATGAAAAGATAATCTCGATCAAAATCTGTAGCAAAATCGCTACATCAGCGGTGAAATTTTTTTTTGGAAGCATTGAGCGTCTGGCCGTACTACAGAGCTTGCGATAGTACTGTACGGCCAGACGCATTCGGGCTAGGATGTTTTGGGGAAAAAATGTTGCATCCCGACGCCACTTTTTTCCTCATTATCTCAGTGAAGGTCAGTCATTGCAAAAATGTTAAAAAGACATGAATCTGGGATTGAGAAACATTTCCAATTTTACAACACGACGACAGTGTCTTGAGCACAATCCAGATTGAAAAGATTCCCATATCTGGCCATCACTCATTTTTCCCTTTAATAGTGACCTAGCTGGAGTTACTCCTCCATGCTCAGCCCTATATTCAGGTATGCAACTGGGAATTTAGAAAAACCGAGGAAATTCCAAACCACACAAGACTTTGTACAGTGTTTTTCACTTTGTAATGGCATTCATGAGAAGTAAAAAACGAGGAAATCAGCGGATCCGAGGAAAAGTTGCATGCCTGTATATTTCATCGTTGGGTTGTCCTATATCACAACCCAACGATAAAATATAGGGCTGCGTTAACTCCAGCTAGTCTCGATACGGTTTGTGCACAGGGTGGGTGACAAGTGATGGCAAGATCGGAATCTTTCCTCAATACAATACTGAGACTTTTCGTATTGTAAATTATGCCTTATTATTAAACTTGCCTGATACGCCGAATACCACAGACAGGATAATCAGAAGCGAGCGAGTAAAATACTCTGTGGCAAGATGTCCTCGAACCCGGAAGTTAGCGGGCATGAAATTCCCCGATGGACCCGCCGACTGCGCCATTGCGCCCACGTCCACAAGCACCGGTTGACAACTTCCGCAAGACCGCAACTTGTTTCCGAGAGGTTTGGAAGAAGATAAGGCGATTGTGTCACCCAACAGCGATACAGTTTCGTGAAACGGAACCTGGCTGTAACTCACATCCTACAATTTGAACAGAAAACCCTTACAATTTCCAAAACATTAGAAAGGAACAACTGCAATTGCAGTCGAAATGTTCAACACGTCAACTTGCTAGTCGTGGTCACTGATGTGTGACCGTCATTCAGGACTGGTGCACGAAACATTGTCGTCACACACTATGCGGAAACGAGACAGGTGCAAGACTGATCATAACTTTAGCCGTATTCAATGAAACTTGTATTTTTCGTCTGCGGCTTCGGATTCTCACAATACGGAAGACACTACAAGAAACGAAGCCGTAGCCATGAATTATGCGATTCGTACATGGCTTACTTTCCCTTGCGAAGTTGCGAGGCCATTCACTTGGAGGCCAGCCGTTTCGTGCTTATTCGGGACCGGGGTAGGTCAACGCAAAACACTTTTATGTGTCCCCCATATTTTTTTTGCTGCACTATCATTGTTATAAAGAATCTGACGCAACCCCAATAAAGAAAAACAAGTCAAATTGATTTCAGCTTTGCTTCTAAAGGCATTTTCTACCCCAGTTGACACTATGAAGAGATCAAAATGGCTTTGCTTTAGCAGACCACATTTCACTTTGGCAAAAACTTAAACACAAATTAAAAACAAATTGACCTTAGTCATTCTAGGCACGCATTTAAATCTTCCACCGACGAATAGGCCCCTACCATTTAGCCAAAGTTGGTCCTTTGATTTTAAAACGATCTTGAAAAGAAAAAAAAAAACGAACGAGTAAAAACAAAATTGTTAAAGTTTGTGTATACGTGCTTTTTGGTTAGGAACCTTGAATTGATAATTTTCTAGCATTACATTAGTTATGAGCTTTCCAATGACATCGCACGAACAAAAATCGGCCTGTGACAAGCAATCAATTAATTAATTTCAACTTTAGAATTAAGAGCGGGACGCTCCTTTAATTCGTTCTGAATAGTGTGCGCAATTTCTGATTAATAAAACTGTACACAGGCCTGCAAAAAAAAAAAGCAAATTTATTTGTATACAGGGCATTATATTC